GACATGTCCTTCATGTTCTCCGGTTGCGGATCCTTCAATCAGCCTATCGACCAACAGCTTGGACGGTGGAATACAGGTCGGGTCACAGACATGAGGGGTATGTTTTCCGGTGCAGTGACCTTCAACCAGCCGATAGAGCGATGGGACGTTTCACGAGTCAGAGATATGTCGTGGATGTTCAGGAGTGCCATTTCTTTCAATCAGCCCATTGGTGCTTGGTACACTGGCCATGTTGAGGGCATGGCTGCAATGTTCGAAAAGGCTGCAAAGTTCAACCAGTCCATTGAAAAATGGAACACAGCGGCAGTCACGGACATGTCCTTCATGTTTTCTGGAGCGATTTCTTTCAATCGCTCGATTCATGATTGGGAAACTGCAAGTGTCACGGATATGAGCGGTATGTTTTTCAATGCCGGAGTGTTCAACCAACCGCTTGGACGGTGGAATACAGGTCGGGTCACGGACATGTCCCAGATGTTCGCAGGAGCAGCATTCTTCAACCAGCCGATCAATCAATGGGATACCTCTCGGGTAACTAGCATGGCGCAGATGTTTGAAGGAGCAATTTCTTTTGATCAGGCACTCAATCACTGGGAAACTGAGGCAGTGACAGACTTTTCTCGGATGTTTTTCCGTGCCAGCTCATTCAACCGACCGGTAGGGATGTGGGACACATCAGCTGTCTCTACCATGAGAGAGATGTTCGCCGGTGCCAGAAGCTTCAATCAGCCCCTATCAACATGGAGCTTCACATCAGTTCTTGAAGACACTCTCAGCGATGCGTTTGCTGGCTCGGGTATGTCTGATTGCGTGTTCAACCTTAGTTCCCACGCTTTAGGTTTGCCGCGCAACCTGTCTGTTCTTTGGTCACGTTTAGCATGTCCCAGCTGCCCTTGTCTACAGACAGATTTGGCATGTGTCAATGGAACTTGTCAACCAGTGAACTCCGGCTTCATTGACCTTGGGAGAGGTGATTGGAATAATGAAAGTGCAACACTCGCGACAGCTGTGGGCTTCCGAGCTTGTGCTGAAAGTTGTGAAGAATCAGATTGCTATGCGTTCCTTCTCGAAGAGTCTGGGCAATGTTTGCTGATTCCAGAGGGTGGGCTCAACTTGTTTGGTGGAGGACACGGTGAGTACAGAAGTTGCAACGCGTTCAGATTTCGATCGTGTCCATGTTTTTTCAGGTGATGTATCAATCGATGTATATATAATTCTTAGCCTTTGGGATTTTGGAGACTCCAGGCATGAATTTGTTCCATGTTGCTAGTAATGACCGCTTGTTAGCCGCTCTCCGGAGAGGAGCGCGCCAGACATATATGGCCTTCCGGAGAGTGTCGTGCAGCGCCTTCTCATGCCCGATTGGAACAACGCTTTCAGCACAGGATCGCGGGAACAGCTCAGCTGTAACGGCAGCCTCTTGTTGCCAATGTGCTTATTCCAATCAAGTGCGAGATCGCAGCAGGGAGCCAGTTGCTTGGACTTGTGGGATTAATTCATGATGCAAGTGTGGATAGGTGGGGGGCTCTTCAGCTTCAGAGCTGATATGGTTTCTTCCCCCTGTGTGGTTAGTACGTGCCCTCTTGTGCTCTTGACAAGAAATTGCTCTACAATTCTGTAGTCCCTCTGCTTTTTCTTGCATCTATACGTTTCTTTGGTTCTCGCTCCACATTTCTAGTTTGTTCTCTACTCTACCCCACTTTACAGTCGAACGCCCCCTTGTCTTGTAGATGTGTTTTCCTAGGAATGTCTACTGTTCTCAATCTTTTCCCTGTGGCTGCCTCACAAATCTTACTTTCTACATTCTCCCGGAAACCCCCACTTTGCCCTACTTGTCTCCCGAAACTTCTGACTCACGCAGCTTTGCCAGTGCGCCCGGCGACCTGCAGTGCTGTTTCCGAAATCATTGCCTTCTCAACAGACACCGAGGACTTGGAATGTTTTACCTGTCCGGCCGGCAGAGCTCCAAACGTGGACCGGTGCGATGCCTGTCCTCTAGGCGGGTGTATCTTGCGGTACAGCCCCATACGCATGTATGTCTAGATATATCTAGATATGAAATATGAGCAAGTGATGGCACATGCTAAATCCAAGCATAGAAGCTATAAGAGTATACAGTTTGTATGAAATTAAGAATGATCTATCGAACCTTAACGGAAGTGGGCCAACAGCCAAAAGGCTCGGAAAGAAGGGTAAGCACCATGTTTCGAGGGGCCTCAATTGGCACGCCAGAGGATAATCCATCTGTCAGATGGATGACAAGGTGATCCCCTTGCCACGGACCCTTTGCAAAGCGCTTGTAGCAAGAAGAGAACGTACCGCAGTTGTATACGACGTTGGTAGGCCGCAGTTGTTTTCACCTGGAGGAGGTTGTTTTGGTAGATGCTGGTCGTGTGAAATCCACCCAATGTTGTGCCTGGCTCTCCGACCTGCTCCAACCCAATGAGGCCGTTACGCCAAAGCGGGTGCAGTGCAGTGTGACCTTTGCCCAGCTGGACGTGTTCCCAACAAGGGTCACCTATGTGGCACGGGTCTCTCATCCAATTTTGGAGACGGTGATTGTGATGTTCCATGTTGGTAAACCAACAAGGATGGCCTGCGTTGATGGGGGGAAGATGTTGTTGAATGATGCCTTTCGGTGTTTTACGGAGGCACATTGAACATATCTAAATTGAGTCTTTGTTAAACTGAGCTCAGAAACATTGGATGTGTCAGCCTTTTCCAGCAGGATTTCCTGAATGTCCGGGTTGATCACTTCACTGGGTCATTTGGATGTCTTTCTCATCTATGAAAACCGACCAAGGTGAAGTCCGAGAAAGAAAGTCATGTCCCAACCACTGTGCTCACATGGCTGCTTTCCCATGAGCCACTGAGGCAGTACAGAGTGCGTTGATTGCTCTCCGGGCCATTATGCCGACCCTGGCGATTCGACGTGCAAAAACTGCCCATTCCCATTGCTTTTGGTAAAAAACAAGTGCATCTCACCTGCAATATCCTGCAGTGTTGAGTCGGACTTGCGTTGCTAGGGTTGTTCATCAATCAGACTCGGATTTCAGGTGCACTAAATATAGGATACACCAAATAGTGGTGTCGACTGTAATTATGCAGAATCTCAAGCCTGAACATGTTCTTGCTTCCTTCATTGACCTATCAAATAGCAAAGAACTGTCGGACCTTCCCGAGGTATCTCGTGGCACCTTTGGGGGCTGCTCATCCTTCTCCTCATCCTCTTCTCTTTGTGTGCCGTGATCGTTCTGCTGCACCGCAGGGCGAACAAGCGCCGGCGCAAGCTGAAGGAGATGCGGCAAGAGGAGGTCATCCGGGGCAAAATGGTTTCACAGACAGTCCGTGCAAAAACGACCAGCCAGGTTACGATGTATACAATTACCATCAATTACCTGATTCGAGCCCCTTATAATATAGAGAAAAAGAGTTCAAGCCCTAAAAATGAGAAGAGATAGGATTGTTGAAGAAGATTGATCTGAAGGCGTTGCAATTTGACATGTCGCATGATTGTCGACACTCCTTGGGGTATGGCCAGTGGAACAGGACGGTACAAATGACCTTTTGTACAGAGGTCGTGTTCTATTGCTAGGTGGGCGTGGCCTTCTTCGATAAGTTTCTTGGAGCCTTTCTAAAAGAGTATCCAATTAATAAGAACTGTGTACAAATGAGCAAAAACCAGGACAGGGTTATCTAGCATGCGTTATATAAATTGCGTTAACATCGGACAATGATGCAATCGTGATAGTCATGACTGCGATGACTCGTGATTCCTCTCAGTAGAGTTATGATAAATCTCCAGCAAGTCGTCACAGTGTGCACAGTGTCGATCTGGTTCGATGCGTTGCAGGTCTTTAGACGATTCCATTGCAGTCGTGCCAGGTCAAGGGTATTCTTCAGGACCTCGAGCAAGAGCTTTGGCATGAGACGCCAGCGACCCTGCAGAAGCTACCTGGTCCGAGATCGAGATTGCTGTGAGCCAGGAAAGATGGGAGAGTGGTTTGGGCTTCTGTCAAGGAGGACATGTATGACAGAACCGATTGCCGTCAAATCTCGCGAAACAAGAGATATTTGAAACCAGAGACACGCAGAATATATCTTGCCCAGTAAAACGATTCAGGAGCTTTAGGAGCCCGGATGCTTCACCCCATGACTTTTCAGAAACGGGATGGTTCAACGGTCACCCGCGATGGGACTGTCTCAGGTTTTTCGTCGCCTTGAGCAGCTTCGGTTGGACTTGGCAGGAAGTCCAGAAACGAGCTGAAGAGACTCTTGGATCGGGTTCCCGACCGGTCCCAGATTGGGGTGGGGGTTGGAATGACCAGTGGTTCAAGAATAGCTCAAGGAAGAGGGCCAATTGGAAGACCAGCCGAGTCCAAGGCTCAAGCTTTTCATCGCGACTGTTTGTTGGAAGATGTTTTCTTGAGATGGTCTCTATAATCTTTGCTTCCTGATTCAACAAGAGGCTAGACTCCAAAAGCACCATTGGAGCTGAGATGAGCCGAGGGCTTTTCTGAGCGCTTTTGTCAGGGATTCCAAGCCGCCTCCTTCTGGAAATGTCAGGATTTAATTGAAAGCAGTGCTATTTATTTGAATGCAGTACACCTGCACACCTGCTAGATAAGAAGTGTTTGAGGAGTTTCGCCGCATGTTCACAAGTGTAAAGCAAGTGTTCTGAGATCAATGTAGATGAGTTCCTTGCAAAGCGAGTGCAACAAAACGATTAAATTATCCCCACAGAGTGGAAGTCAAAACCCTGAAGCCATGCAGCCATGCCTCGAGGCTACGGGCAAGCAATAGCACCAACGCGGGCATCAGCCTTGCATATTTGATGGGCGATTTTGCAAGGTTGGCCTACGACTGGTCGGGTCAGGATGATCCAAGCTTTCTTCGCCTGAAGGAGGTCTCAGGGCAGATGAAGGAGTTTGCACAAACTCTTCTTACATCGACGACATGGAAATGAACATGAAAGAACATCGTCGCGGTTTTGTCACTGTCACCAAACAAATTTGTTTTGAAGAGAGTGATGTCATTCATGCCGCTTGCAGATGCGCTTGTTTCATTTTGCGTCCAGCAAGTGCTCATTTGAGCATTGATAGAAGAAACTGGAGTGTTCATGATTCGTGAACAATCGGCACGAATTTCAATCAGATTACTGATCGATCCTTGTAACTTTATAAACGCTTTGCAAGCCCCACTGTTTACGTTACATGTATATAGATTACATGACAATACCTCCCGCACACAAGAGTGGCAACGGATTGGAGCAAAAAGTAATAGGATACTTACAACTTCACATCCGGGACCAAATACTGTAGTCTTGCTGGTAGCTCACCGTCAGGTCTTTTGGCAAGGAGACGAGAAGATCGGAGCCAATCGTCTTTGCCCCCGAGATGGTCGGCTGGGTTGCGCGTTGGTCGACTGGCTTCCGCCCGAGCATCGTCACATGCAAACGCACTTCATGCCCCTCGAATGGCGGGGCCCGTGGTGGCTCCCACAGGCTGTTGGGCTCCAATATATAGAATCACAATATAAAGGGCAATTATCAGGTGGTACATACAAATAGTTATATAATATATATATATATATTATATATATACATGTATTTTTTATAGATATATATATATATACATATATATATATGTATTTTATATATATATATATATTTGTAGAGAGAGAGTGCAAAAGGACATACTTGTCCGAAGACTGAAACAAACACTGGTTTTTACAAGGGCAATCCCAAGTCTCCCTGTTAAAAACCATCGACACATATTCTGCTAGTCTTTTACTGGTGGGTTGTGGTGTCCTCATGCTGTGTCGAGTCCCCATCCCCAAATTCTGAGGTCATGGAGTTGGAGTTATTCGCTTCGGCAACTCCAAAGTGCCATGAAGATGTGGAGATCAAAACTGGAGCTTCAAGAGGCTAGGTGCTTGCATAGTTGCTACTGTACATGGTTGTTAGCTTTGTATCCCTTTTTGCGACATGTTGGTCCATGTGTTTTTTCTATGTTTATGTGCTCGATTTTGCTTGTGGCTGCTGCTCCTCTCTTTGTGTTCAACACGAACTTTCTAGTTTACTCTAGTCTTCTCTTTCTGAATTGAACCTGGATAAGTCAACCTGGGAGGTCTTCTTCTATATGTGCTTCTTCGTCAACAACCAGTTTCGCATCATCGTGGAGAGATCTGCGGCCGGGAGCGACAATCTCGAGGATGTGTTTGAGACAAACCTCTGCCGGATTGGTCACGTTGTTGCAGTATTGGACACATGGCGGGAGCCAGTCTACTTGCAACGAGCTGCCTGGTATTTCTGAGAGACAGATGATTGGTGTCGATGTCTTCACCTAGGGAGCATCCCCCGATATAGGTAAGTCTACTCATCCGGAGTGAATAAATGTTCTTCATCGCTGGAGCTTCTTCACCTCTCAAACCAATCTTAGGTCTGGACGATCTATGAGCAATACGTTGCTTGCTCTTTGAAGGTGCCTGTGACCTTCGTCATGCCAGAAAGTGCCACAGCTTCTTTGCAGAGTTGAGGCGTTATGTTGCTGAATGCTGATATGCCACCAAAGCTTGCGTGTTCACACACGTTTGTTTGTAGATTTTGCAGTATGTGTGTGTGTGTGTGCGTGTGCTTTTCAACATGTCAGCATATTTTGGAGCATCTAAGGCCTCCTTGTCGCAGCAGATGCTTGCACAAAGTTGATGTTTTTCCATCATGTTCTCTTCCCGAACGTCGTTTTCATCCGGCCGGGGAAGTCAATGCTTTCAGACAACTGAACAAACGTTTTGCCTACCAAAAAAAACACGTTGGCGCTCATGAAAGTCCTGGCCAAACTGAGGATCTCGCGTGGTGACGTAGGCATCAGCCAGGTGACGTCCTCTTTGTGCCAAGTGAATGTGGCCAATGCACGGGCCTTCGAACAAAGAGATGAGGAGAAGGTGAAGAATACGATCCAAAGCACAGTGTCTGGATGGACCTAGTGGTTGTGTGGTTTGTTCGCGGCCTCATGAGAGTCAATAATGCAATTAAGTACTGTAGTTATTCCAATGCAGATGTACATGTCCACATGGTTACTGCGGAGTCGTTTTTTGTGGTGTATCAATGAGTATGGTATGAACACAGAACTTGAGGGGGAGTTGGGTCATGATACTACTACATTGCGGGGATTAGACGCCTATAACTTAATACCGATCTTTGCACAACTGGGTCACCTGGCGACGAAAACGTTGTCATTTACTTTGCCGATCTCTTTCTGTCTTCGGACGAGACTCGGTGTTTGTTGGTCGCACAGGTCGGGCGATAATCTCTGGAGTCGATCGCAGTCGATCGCTCGGAGTTTTGCAAGCCAAGGTGGGCTTTGACCGAGTGAACCAACATGTGAAACATGCTATGATCCAGTGGATTGGTGTGGTGGTGAGAGAGAAGTTTGAACAGCTTGTGGACGCAGCTGATGACCAGGAGTCTCTTTTTTGTGTCTAGCAGGAGTCTAGCTCCAAATTCAACTGCACTTCTTATGTTTGCGCATCTTCGGCTTACGAGCAGTCGAGCGCAATAGTTGTTGCCTAGCAGAGGTCTGGGCACAAACGGACAAGAGATCAGAAAGTGTCCGGCAAGAATTTGCAGTCTTCCCAAAAGATGTATCCTATCTAAACAGATTAGGATTCCTCGCAGGACGACGCAGCCGCACGATGCAAAAAAGAACATCGACACAGCTCCCCGCGGGACTTCCCCACTCACCGTGGGTATGGTTCCAGTCTCTGAGAACCACCCACCAAACACATCTCCCCGTTCTTGTATGCTGGGGATTCACCCGGTCACCACTGACCGCTGACATTGCTCGGGTTTGGGAATGCGATCTGGGCGCAAAAGCACCATCCCTTGGTGATTGTTCCAGATTGTGCCGCCAAGTCGTCTCAGACACTGGAAAAGATGATAGCGCCCAGCATCCGTGAGTGCTTGGAATACGTGATGCGATTCCGTATGCGAAATGGCTGTGGATAAATACACCAGCCAATAGAAGTAAAGGAGTTGGAGAAAGTGAATATATAAAGGTGTCTTGCCATGATTTCGGGTGTGTTCAAAAAGATAAAACATGTGTCTAAGCATAATAATTTCCAAGCAACAAAGAACACAAACAAAATGGCTTGGATATGCTTGGATGCTGAAACAGAGAAGGAAAGAAAACACTGCATGATTGTCCAGGATCTAGAAGCCAACCAACGTTGATTGATGATTTCATTCCAACTCCCCTCGTTTTGGCAATTCCAACATCCATGAGTCAACACACAAATATGAGGTAACAAGTGCCACGCTAGTAGTAACAGGTGCCTTACTAGTAGTAACAAGAAACTACTAGTAACAAGTGCATCGCTTCTAGTAACAAGTGCCTTGCTAGTAGTAAGATGCCTCGGGTGACCAAATTCCGTTCGATCCCTCGACCACGCAGCATTCCCCCAAGCGAGGATCGGTGCACCATCGTGGAGTGTTGTTTAGCAGGGAGCCCAGCGGAATGGGCGGCAAGGGTCCGTTGTAGACACCGAACGAATGAGCTAGCTAGGTCTCTTAGCAGCTATGGGTGTGTGTGTGTGTGGGTGGGTGGGGGGGAAGGGAAATGCCACAACATCCACCAGGAGCATGTTTCAAAAGTGAACTAAGCAGTTGGTTGTTTGAATGCGGCAGTAGCAAAGGTCTCTTAGACGAATTCCCTTCCGTTCGTGAACCCCTTGTGGCAGTACATTTGGGACACACAGAATGCATGACAATGGCGGGATAGTCTCTCGAAATCTCCAGAGTTGCATTGGGAGTTTTGAGTTCACTCAAAATTCAGTCAGACAGTCTTAGCTTATCTATATATCTCCATCTCTTTAGCGCCTCAATCAATTATTTGGGCCTGAGGCGCATCGCCATGTTGGCTTCCATCCCCCATCTCCGAGCTGAGGTGCGGAACCAGAATCTCTTCCGGAGCCTTGCCTCAGGCTGAAATGGTTTCGGGATGAAAATTATCCTCGCAGGGAGTGACTTGGTAGACTTGGTTGTTTCGTCTTGTTTCATCTTGTTTCATATGGCGTCGATGAGGTGTTTTGTCTTTTTTGGGCGAGAAGTCATTTGGTGGCAGGTCACCGTGACTCAGATTTCCTGTGGACGGATCTTTAAGGTTTGTAGTACAACCGGATTCTGCTCCAATGAGCAACTTCTCGAGCGCGTGGGAAAAGGCGACCTTCCGTCAAGCAAAAATGCACCAAACGGATCTGAACGGTCAAACAGAGGGGTCCATTTCTTGGGTTCTGTCAAATGTCAACTTTGATGAACACCGTGTTTGCGGGTCACCGGGTTGTCCAGCCTTCGCCGGGCCTTACGGGTCCAGGGCCCATGCAAGTCCTCGCCACACAGGCCCGGCCTGGTGAATGGACAGAGGGTTGACGCGGCGAAAAATTGAGATTGTGCTTCGTAAGTGAACCATATTAATCCACTTTTTGTAGTCATGAGTAGATGTGCTCTACCAGCTACCAAGGCGCTCACGGGGGTATTGACGGGTTTAAGGACCACCTCGCGGATGCAGCTTCCAGCCCCAGTTTCGTGATGAGGCGTTCGAAATCCGTTCCATATTTGTTTCACCCTTTGGCACCAAGACAACAAGACTCGCAGTGTTTCACCGGGACGGCACGACGTGTTTCCTCTCCTTGGTCCCCCCAGTGAGCGACTTGGTGAGACGTCCACCCTTGATGTTAGACGTCACCCGGGAAAACGGTCGTCGGTTTCCTCGGATAGCGATGGAAGGAAACTTGGTTTGGCATGGAAACATGGAACTTCCATCATTTGCTGGGCTACTGATGCTGGGTATTGAGGTTTGAACAAAGTGCTTTAGCATTGGACCTGAGACGTCGCAAGTCCAATAGAGCTCGCCCCTGAAACCTGCCGACGTGTTTCCTGCACGTCACGCTAGCCGCTAGAGCACTTGAAGGACTTCCTGGGGCAGCTTCTGGTGGAAGCAAGCCGTCAACGTGCCTGAGCTGCCATCTGTTGAAAACACAGACAGACAGCTGCTGGTTCAATGGGTGAAAGAATGTCAGACAAATCATCTTGCTGCAGATTAACATGGAACCCCCAAAACCACTGGGTTGGTATTCGGAAGATGCTCTTCCACGAATCAATTCTCAATGTCCACTTTAGTCTGTCGGGGGAGGTAGTTGTCCTACTTTCAATGCCTTGAATCATCCGGGCTCCTCCCTCGACATGTCAGTTTGCGCTGGGTGGGATTCGACGGTTGCTTCCCCTATGGGTAGAGCAGTAAACCTGTTTCTTCTTTTGCGGTGTATGTCAATACAGGACCCTTACAAATGGTTTTGGGAATAACAACCGTAGATGAAGATGAGTTCACGGATTCATTTCGATCAAAAGTCCACACGCCAGTGCTGCTTTCTTCGCATGTACTTGAGAATGGTGGTTCTGCGCGCTGGCTAGAACTGTTTTGGAGTTGTTGAGGTCGTATTGGTCTTTTGAGGGTCTTTCTCCGAGCTTTGTTTGCTTCCCACAATGAGGAAGAAATCCGACACCTTTGCAGAAAAATGAATCATCTGAAGAACCCCATGAACGACCCACGGCCCTGGGCCACCCCTTTGCTAGTAATTACAAGTGCATCGCTACTAGTAACAAGTGCCTTACTGGTAGTAACAAGAAGCTATTAGAATTAAACTATATTTAAATTAATAGCTTCTTGTTACTACTAGTAAGGCACTTGTTACTAGTAGCGTGGCACTTGTTACTAGAAGCTTCTGAAGAACCCCATGAACGACAGGCCACGGCCCTCGGTCGCCCCTTTCGTCGCTCAGGTGGCCTCTCACAGGTGATCAGTCAGACGTTGGGCTTCGAGGGCATGGAGTCTCCTGGCCACCGGCCACCAGGACGGTCGCAGGTGTGAAAGCGTTTTGCAGTGGCCAAGCTTAAAGGGCTTGTGCAAGTGTACATGGCAAAAACCATCTAACATCCATCTAACACATGATGGTCAGGACAAATTTGATTTCTGCTTGACTCCTATTCTGTCATGAGTCCAGTGACCTTTGTGCATAACTAAGAATTCCGTGGCCTTTTGTTTCGACCTTCAAAAACCGCCCAAAGCCTGTTCTTGGGTTCAGTGGGTTCTCGGTCTGCGGTTCAGGATGCGAGCCACAAGCGGTCCCCACGTTTCACATGACAAGCAATCTCATGCAGACTCAAAAACGAATAAACGACCTGAAGTGGCTTGGGTAATTAGCTTGGATATGTCCGTTCTTTTCCAAGCTTCCCATTGGTCATCCTGTAGTCGAACACCTCGCAAGCTTCAGATTCTCACCCTCTCGGCCTTCCAAGGTTCTACATTGCGGAGGTGCATGGCATCGAGGGTCACTGGGCAGGAGATGGTGCTTGGAGAGTCAGAATGAGAAGCCCAAAAGTAACCCTTGTTATTAATAGCTTCTTATTACTAATAGCGATGGCCTCCACCTAATAGCGTCCTAATTGTGCATATTAAAAAAACACCTTGATCAGGAAAGTGCGTGATGATTCAAGCAGATAGGAACAGCCCGGCCCAATACCAGATGTCAGAAACACGGCGCTGGCTCGGCTGACCATCATCACTGCTACCTTCACCTCGGTGAGGTGACTTCCAATGGTAGGTCGGTGGAGCCCAAGCGGGCCCGTATTCCAGGTGTGCGAGTACTCCAGGTGTACAGACTTTGGCCTTGTCAGGCAGGGTTTGGTTCGAAGCCAGGTTGTGAAGGCTTCAAGGTCTTTTGCACGACCTGAACGATACTCATGAGATGCCGCTTTGAAGGTCAGAGCGCTACCAAAGCCCCTACTTGGGTGTGTGTCTGTGTGTGACCACACTTCTAGGATCTTCTAGGGCTGAAGTTTGCTCTTTCCAATGGTGAACCAACATAATAGCATGCAAGTATATAGTACAATATGGTACCCAGGCCAGCCGGAGGCGGAAGTTTCAATCAATGACACTATGATTAGGCATGCTTTTCTTAAGGTCCTTTTCTTCTCGAGCTTGAGGGCCAGGCCTTCCAGGTCGGTTTCTGGCTGCATGCACTCCCCTCCCACTCGACCCATTGGAGAAGTCATCTGCCGAAGCCTTCAAACGATTTTCTTCTCCACGAAGGCCATTCGCGCCGGAGTCAATGGCTGAAAGGCCATTTCATTTTAGGGTACAAGTATTTTAGGGTGTGATGGTCTCATGGGGGGTTACCCTTTCCAAAGTGGTTTTATTCAATTGTTAGTGGTGCTTGTTTACGGGAGGTTCTTTTCTAAACTTCTTTTGACCTGATCAAACACACCGCCCCTGCCTGAGATTCAGTTGGCACACCAAGGCAACTCAAACAAGTTCCTTTAATGAACCAGATCAGAACATCTTGCAGCGCTGTCTGCCGCTGTCTGCCGCTGCTCAGGATGGACCTTCGGAGATTTGCTCTTTGCGTTGGGCCAGTCCATCCCCATTGGTTACATGGACCACGGGCAGGTCCGGCAGAAAGCTGCTCTTGCACCGCTGAAGACGGTGGTTCAACCAAGAGGTCGAGGGAAGAAAACGATAAACGTGTTTGTTTGCATGTAATCCTGCACATACGAATGCACATGCATGCATACAGTATAGTATAGTACAGTACAGTAATTACAGTACATATGTAACTATATATATATATATTTACCAGGCTACCGCCTGCAGCCGCCGACCCCCAAGGGATAGAACCTTAGCGCTAGCCTTGCTCTATGTTAGCCTTAGCCTTAAGCCTTAGCCTTAGCCTTAAGAGTGCAGACCCAACCCAGCACCACCAAAGCAGGTACCCAAAAAGTCGACTTTTTGGGTACCTCCCAGATTTACCATCGGACGTCAGCGCTTGCATGAACCCCGATCATTGCCCAAGAATTTAGACCCAACCCTTC